CCCCCCACTCATTCACGATGTCCTCATCGCGCATTAGTCCATAGTTAGTAGGAATCTGCAGACACGGACGGGGGGGATGGAGGGAAGGGTCAAGATGAGCGGTCAACTTGCCAGGGTCTTTTTTGTCATTTTCCCAATCTTTTCTTGGGGGTTCCTTTTGTCTTTACCCCCTCAGGGCGGGGGAGGGTATGGGGGTTGGGGTTTCCTCTTCAAACTTTCTCCTTTCTTCCTACAGTTTAGACGAAGCTGCTTATTTTCGTCATAGCTCTGCCTCTTTATCTTCCTCTCCACCGAGATACGAGTTTCCTTCTCAGTCAACTCTGTATACCCAGCAGGGCAGCCCGGCGTTCCTTTGACTCCAGTAACATGAGGCAGGCGAGGCAATCCTTGCTTCCTGCTCTCAATTCCCAGCAGACGGACTTCCTCCCCGGAATGATCATTCGTCGCCCCAGTCCGGTTGGTTTTTCCTGCCTTGGTTTTGTTGATAACAAATTGTAGGCAAGTTTTTGGATGTGACTCAATGTTAGGCATCTGCTCCGGAAGGGGGGGTGTTCGTCCAGTACAACCACCACCTTTGCTGTGGTGATACCCACTTCGAATTGATGAACACAGGCATTACTCCCCTTTGCTGCATTATAACCTCGATTCCATCTCTCCACCACTCCCCACTGCCCCCTTCTTTCCCCTGTTGTTGTTGTTGTTGTTGTTTTTTTTTTTTTTTTTTTTTTTTTTTTTTTTTTTTTTCGGCCTTTTCTCAGGTCCTGCCAATCCTGTCCACGTCTCACCCCAGTTACCTCATGACTCTGTCGTTCATTACCCCCTTCCTTTGTGCTTTCGTTTTGCCCGTTTTCTTTGATCCTTTGTAGATTTTGGAATAACCGTCCTTTTCTACCCCCCCCCCCCCCCACTCAAGTACAAGAATCACCCCCCCCCTTTTCTCTTTTCTTCATTCCATTTTTACTTCGTTTTCTTTATTTCCCCTCGGCAGCTCTTTTGTGACCCGGCTCAACCACGACCAAAGACAATTTTCACACTCCATATGACCGGCTCCTTTATGGCCCAGCTCAACCAAGTCCAATGCAATTCTCACAATCCATCTGGCCAGACACCTTTATGGCCCAGCTCAGCCAAGTCCAATGCAATTCTCACAATCCATCTGGCCAGGCACCTTTATGGCCTAGCTCAGCCAAACCCAATGCAATTCTCACAATCCATCTGGTCAGGCACCTTTATGGCCCAACTCAACCAAGTCCAATGCAATTCTCACAATCCATCTGGCGACGCACCTTTATGGCCCAGCTCAGCCAAGTCCAATGCAATTTTCTTTGTCCATCTTTCCTTGGGCCTTTTACTTCTTTGCACGCTTTGTCCTTAGGTAGATGACTCACCTTCCCCCCACTCAATCGCGATGTCCCCATCGCGTTATAGGTTCTCACTTGGAGGCACGCAGACCTTGCCTGCCGACTGAGTAACCGGATGCCGGCCCATCAGCAAGAGGAAGGGTGATCAGTCCTTCCTTTGTTGATAACTCACCTCATCCCCTACCCTAGTCCAGCGGCCACCAACTCGGAGATAGGCATTATCATTGAGGTGCCTTCTCGCAGCCGTGAGACAGGTCTAGTCCTTATCTCCTAGGACCCCATCCTGCCCGAGAGTGGCTCCCTCGGGAATCGTTCCTCCCAAAGTGGTATGTTTTGTGAATCCGTCCTCATCCAATCCAAGAGAGTTGGGGCTCTCAATTAGTCCGCGAGTGCAGTTATGAAGACCTCGCAATTAGTCCCGAAACGGTTGTAATGTTCCGGCAGGGCAGTGTCAATGCCCCGTGGTGACCGTCATTGTTGTCACGCGAGGACCCCCGGGGCCCAAGCCGAGGTGGGGGTTTCACCCCCGCAACCCCGCCGCGGGGATCCCTGACCCCCGACCCCTCCAAATCAACCCCGCACGTGCCCC